AGCATTTTCCTTCCCAGAATGACGTTCCACATCAGTTCAGTCACTGGATCAAATAACAGTTTGACGATAGTAAGAAAATGAAAACTCTGGTGAAATCTTCTCAGCTTCACTATGTGTCCGGAACACATTAAAAAGCAATACACGAAAGGTTCTCCCCCGCTGTGAGTGAATTCGTGCCAGGACTGTTGTCCCCTGTAGGCCTGGCCAGAGACCAGAGGTCACTGGCCTTCCCAGTGTCCCCCGAAACCTTGCCATCATCAATCATAACCTGTCAAATACGAATCGTTTGTCGCAAGCCCCTCTGTGTACTGAGATGGCCGTATCTTTTTTCACATCAGAATGGCTGCCTCTATTTCACAGCTCAACACAAACAGACCTGTGTTTAACTCCACTGATGGAAGAATGTAGATGATATTCCCTGCTCCCCCAGAGAGCTTTATATAGAAAGAAGTATTTATGACCAGCTGTTTGAGACCTGTAAATGAAACGTGTACTGCAAATTATACCTCTGTCAAAATGGAGATATCATGTGATTCCAGGAAAGATTTCAGAAACATGGACTGTTGTTTTATGGGAGTTTTATCAGTGAAAACTTTCTTTGTTTGGCTATACTATGGTGGTCTCATTATATGAAGAGAAATGAGATTTAAACAACTGATGTAAATCACTTAATTGTATCCTTTTCTTTTAAGTTGCCTTGATGGCTTCTGAAGAATAAATACGTCCATCGTGGAAGAGACTTGGAGTGATGGGCTCATTTACGACCCCTAATCTTTAAGCAATAGGAACAATGCAAGTGTTATTGCCCATTGTAAACTGATAAATTCCCACTTTGATTCATGATTCCCACAGGGAAGCAACAATAAATTGATCACATCTTAGGGCAGCATCAGCACTTTCTTTTGAATAAATCAATATTCGACGCTTTCATAATTACCTGAAATACTAATGAAGAGAATGAAAGGCCATGAGCCGCCTCGAAGAATGAGTCTTTTAGTTTCTGCCGTATTTTCAGTTCTAATTTCACTGTTTTCCATAGCACGGAAGTCGCATTCCCAAAGCACACCCCTGAAGTGTGTGAAAATGTAATTCTGCTAAGATTTTTAAAAAATTAAGAATGAAAGTATAGATTTTGATTCTGTTTATTTACAACAATTGGCTGCTCCACAAAGTGCTTCTTTTCAGTTGTCTTCGTTTTTAAACAAGCACTAAATATATGTCTTTGACTATTTTCCTGCATTTCGCTGCTTTTTCAGCACTGATTATTTAAAAAAAATATTTTAAGATTTATAGAACTATTTTAATCATATTAATCAAAAACATGTATGTAAAGTAAAAAATAGCACGGAAGTCGCATTCCCAAAGCACACCCCTGAAGTGTGTGAAAATGTAATTCTGCTAAGATTAAAAAAAAATTAAGAATGAAAGTATAGATTTTGATTCTGTTTATTTACAACAATTGGCTGCTCCACAAAGTGCTTCTTTTCAGTTGTCTTCGTTTTTAAACAAGCACTAAATATATGTCTTTGACTATTTTCCTGCATTTCGCTGCTTTTTCAGCACTGATTATTTAAAAAAAATATTTTAAGATTTATAGAACTATTTTAATCATATTAATCAAAAACATGTATGTAAAGTAAAAATAGATGGCTAATTATAACCATCTACTTTGTTGCAATTTAAAAAAAACATAATGTAGATTTATTTTTAAAATAATCGTTAGTTCGCTAAAGAAATTAAGTCTAGAGAAGAGCATTTTATTTTACCTTACCTGTTAGTGATGTCTACAGGTATGTAAAAGTATTTTTAAATAAATCTGTTATGAAACATGTTATGACAGCCACTGTGAAAATGAATATTTCAACCACAAATAGAAATTTTATAATTTAGAAGTTAATTTAAAAATTGCATTATGTGCAATTTACATGTTTTATAAGTTGAGTGTTGTTTTTTTTATATTTAAAAATAAATAATATTTAAACCATGTTGTCAAAACCGGGGTACATACTGAACCGTCTTGTTTGTGTACCATTACACCCTTATAAACACACACACACACTTTTTTTGCAACTGAAGTTGATTGCCTGGCCTGTCTTTTTCAGCTCAATGTTTATACGTATAGTACATTTTCAACCCAGGAAGAGATTGCAATTTTTGTAGTGAAATGGAAAGCATGTAGGCAAACCTGTTGCTAGCTCCTTTGGAAGAATTGCCTGTGTAGCGTTTCTTAAACGTAATTTTGGATAAAAGCATCCGCCAAATGAATAAATGTAATGTAAAGCTACCTAGTGTTCCTGAAAAACACATCATAGAGGACTTACTCAGGCTTGTTGGTCAGTGCAATTTGCCTGTTTTATACACAACAGATCAAGTTTTTTTCTAGCGTTGTGTTCACAAATTAGCCCTTCATTTCATGCTTCGGAAGACCGAGCAATCGCAGGCACATTGTCCTTCCATTATCTGGCTGAAGTGAATGATTAAAACGCAGACTGCTGATGAAGGCAGCCACATAGATGATTGGCCCCAACACCAGCTTATTCCCTTCAGCACATTTTCAATTAAACCTTTTTAGCCAGTGAGCAATTAACAGCAGGCTGCTATGTGACCTCGGCGAAACGTGTTTTTCTGCACTCCACAATCACTCATTGTCATAATGATGCATGACCTGATCAAATTGTTTGGGATGACAAAAGCTCGTACTGCCCTTTATTCACTGCATCTTATTCAGGGAACTAGAGGAGATGAATACATCAGCTCAGAAATCGAGCGCTCGTAAATCTTGTTTTAAAGACACTTATCCAGGTTCAGATTCAGTCCAAAGGCGGCTTTTGTGGAGTCAAGTTTTATTTATTGCTCCAGCCTCATTTCGCTTGGCCTTTTGTGCATGGGGATAAATAATTATTTGTGCATTAATGTGTTTTAACTTTGTACATTTGACGGTTTGTTAAGCAAGGAGTGGGTTAGGAGGGAAGGTTTTGCATTTAGTTTTGCTTTTTGAAAAACAATTAATATAGTTATACCTATACTCACACACATACACACACAGAGGCCAGAAGTGCTTTTAATGGCCATAAAAGTTCAGTTAAACCAGGAATACAGTATGCTGTACTGGGAAAAAGAAAAAAAATGTATTGGGGAAAAAGGTAAACAACAGCTTATTATGGAATTATGGTTTTATTTTACTATGCAAAAAACAAAAAGCTCACAGGAAATAAGGCATACATTGAATACAGTACAATCAGTTATTACTACAGATATTTCATTAGTTCTCCCTTTATTCTGATTTGCAAAGCCTCCCAAAAACTTTGAAGAAAAAGTTGAAGTTGAAGCATTTTTTTTATTTTGAAGAAGTCACACATTGAGGTGATTTTCTACCTCCTGTCAAAACGTTCAATCGTCTTCTTTGGCCCATTCTGCATGGTACCTGTTTCACAGTGTTTTGCAATAAATCGGCGGACATTGCGACCATTCAAATTCAGCATATGAGCAATATCCATAGTCAATTGACCAGATTTAGCCATTATGATAATATCCACCTTGGTTGCAGAGGACAGATCCCTCCTCTTTGCATTTTCTATAAAAACCAAAAAATTATGTCTAATGTATATTACAGCACATATTACTAACCCCCACCACAATGATTGATTGAATTATAGGCTGGGAAGAATAAGAGCAAGCTTTGCATGTCAGCTTGGCCAAAAATGATGTCCGCAAACTCCAGGCACAACTATGCAATTTGCTTACAAAATTGTTACTACATTTTAATATGTTTGAAAAGAGGGGAAAAGCATATTATATAGGCCTGACATCATTTTGGCTAATATGTCACAAAATGTCACTTGTAGCAGATGAAGGAATAGAATTTTTTTTTGCCAGCCACAGTGTTCTACCAAGATTAATCTTATCTAAATTATTTGTATTTAATACATTTAAGTGTTAAGACGGTTTTCTTTGTTTTTGGTACAATAAACATATTGGTAGTGTGTTGGGTCATTACTTGATTTCCAGTGTAAAGTATGTGCTCTGAATCAAACCCAGATGAGAACCACCACTCTAAACCATTTCGGCTTTTTCAAATCAAGACCCTTGATATTTACTTTTACTTCAGGGACTCGCGTGGTCAGTTTGAGGAGAAGTTAGAAACATCGATCGATTGTTTTAGACGTTTGTGCTACTTTAGATCTAATGCCAGCATTGTCTCAGAGAGAAGGCAGATAAATCTTTAGTTTTAATAGTGTCTCTTAGTTCACATGCCAGAGAGGCAAAATGAAGCCGTAATTACAAGTCTTAATTGATGTGTTTTTACCTTGATAGACCATAGCTCTGCTCTCCTTGCTCTTTTCAGACTGTGGCTCTGCTTGCTGTTGTTTGCTCTATATTTCTCTACGTATTGATTGCTATTATGGCAAATCCAATGGGCACAATAGAACTCTATCAGCAAAATACAGGTTAATTATCTTGAGGTCAGGCGGTCTCAGATGCACACAAAGGGCTTATCCTCTTCGCACATTACAACCTAACATTAAATCGTGAGCACAAATTATCACCAAGGTTTTTTTCCATTCAACAAATGAACTGGCAGAGGGAAGGAGAGCAGTGTTTAAACATCGACATTCGAGAGTTTAGATGTTTGGCAACTTTTGTTCTCTTTTAAAAAGCCATTTGCGCTTTATAGTCAAAATTATTATCTCCACTGCTGTTCAGGCTTTATGGTGCATATTAGATCATGATAAATGATTTTCACTTTGAGTATACAGTGTGGAGAATTTTTAATGATTGAGATTTTACTTTTACATAAATAAGAAGCCACAGGTCTTTCTTTTCACTAAAGGCAAAACTGAAGGCAAAAAGTGATATTTTTGCTAAGTGGAGTGGGAAGCTGTCGGATGTTTTACTTATGCTTGACTGATTGGCCTTATAAGCGGCCGAGAGGCCCGTCAATGAGCTTGAGTTAATGGCATTGATTGTGGATATTGTGCTTTTCCCCCCGGCTCCTGCAGGGACTCCAGTGAATCGGATTCCTATCATGGCCAAGCAGGTGTTGGATCTCTACACTCTCTACAAGCTTGTCACCGAAAAAGGCGGCTTAGTGGAAGTCATCAATAAGAAAATATGGCGCGAGATTACCAAAGGCCTGAACCTCCCTACCTCCATCACCAGTGCGGCTTTCACCCTCCGAACACAGTGAGTGAGATAACTTCAGACGGGAACAACCTGTTGATAACTGCCAGTTGATTCTTGTCTATCTTGTCCAATTCAATTACCTGCTTTTAAAATAAAGAGAGTGAAGAGCAGTGTATTTGACAGTGTTCGGTAGAAGTAAGAAAGAGATAGATTTGTACTGCTAAATTGAGATCCATCAAGCAAACACTAATGCTGTTTAAGCATTGTACATTATTAAATCAGCACAATGTCAATTCAAAAAGGCTCGCTATTTAACTTAATATAGTACAGTTAATTTTTGTCAAAAACATGGCTTTTAGGGTGAAAGAACCTAAATAAAGTAAGACTTAATGTAATGACCAAAGACATTTTGCATATGTATAAAGGCTTCGAACAAAAGAACGCATCTTGTGTGAACAACCGCTAAGACACGCTGACACACTTGATTGCGAAATGGATTGCTGTGGACAATATATTGATTTCTAAAGCTGCTTTTTGACTAATCTACTCTACTAATCTAATCTACTTTTACTCATCTAACACAATATGAATTTTCTGGAGTGTTTTTTGAGCATTAATATACTATTATTCAAAGGTTGGGGTAGGAAAGGTTTTTTTTTTTGTTTTTGAAAGAAATCTCTTATGCTAACAGAGGCTGCATTTATTTGATCAAAAATACAGTAAAACAGTAATATTGTGGGGAAATTATTACAATTTAAAATAGCTGTTTTATATCTTAAGGTTTTAAAATGTAGTTTATTCCTTGTGAGTTTTCAGCAGCCATTATACCAGAGTGTCACATGATCGTTCAGAAATCATTTTTTCTTACTATGAGTGTTTCAGAAGGATTTTTTTGTTGTTGTTCAAAAGAACATTTATTTTAAATAGTCAAAATATAATCGTTTTTATAACAATGTAAAAGTCTTTACTGTCAATTTTTATCAATTTTATGTAGCCTTGATAAATAAAAAGTATTTATTTTTAAAAAAAAATACTGACCCCAGAATTTTAAATAGTAGTGTAAATGTGATTAATTGCAGTTCATTTGATTAATTAACTGTTGTCATATAATTAATTAGATTTTTTTGCACCCCTCATAAACAGATTTCAACTTTATGCATTTTAGTACATTTTACATTTGACTCAAATATTTAACTCCTTCCATGAAAGCATCATGTTGTATGTTTTTCTACTTTCTGTGTAAATCATTGACGTACTTGGGGAACACATCAACTTGTTTGTGCAAGTCCACTCTCAGCACTATCATTTAACACAATTACATTATTCTCTAAGGCATCCAGTTCTCATGTAGCCCTGTAGGCTGTCATAAGAAAACACAATGGAATTTGAAGGCAGTCATTATTAAGTTGATCATGGACCTAGTAAAAAAAATTGACAGTTGAACAGATGGGCTCTCATCCCGGTCATGTAAATAGAGGAATGCAAGAAATCTGGGTTTCAAAGCACTGTTGAGAGGAAGAATGTGCACTCACTACATTGTAGTGTAATGTTTCTGTCCTTTTTTTTCTCAAAAATGTGAATGATGTAGTTTGTCTATGCATTGAAAATGAATTAAATAAATGATAGGATAACTATGAAATAATAGATGTACAGTTCAAAGTGAAGGCAAAAGGTTTTTGGTGTCAGCTGTCAGTGGAACATATAGTTAATGTTATGAACTACACCAATGGTTATGACACCTGTGTGAACTTGAGGAGAACTTCATGCATAACAATCACTTTGAGTCAAATGTCACAGAAAAAGTGGCTCAGAAATGTGAAGTTTGTTCTGAGTAAAGATCCTGAGCATTTATTTGAAGATGCCACTATTTAGGTTTGATATTTAGGTGACACTTTAGTATAGTGACCAATTCTCACTATTAACTAGTTGCTTATTAGCATTTTTAACATATTGGCTGTTTATTAGTATTTATAAAGCACATATTCTGCATGACCATATTCTACACCCCTAATCCTTCCAATACCTAAACTTAACAACTACCTTACTAACTATTAATAAGCAGCAAATTAGGAGTTTATTTAGGCAAAAGTCATAGTTAATGGTTTGTTAATGGCGAGAACTGGACCTTAAAAGAAATTATGACCGATATTTACTATTTCAGTGTAACTTGAGTATCCAAACACTTTTTAGGGCAAATGTAAATTACTGTAGCTATAGTGTTATTTCCAGTGCTTCACGTTCTGTCTTTTCTTGTCTACAGGTATATGAAGTACCTTTATCCTTATGAATGTGAAAAGCGGGGACTGAGCTCTCCCGGGGAGCTTCAGGCAGCTATCGACAGCAACCGTCGCGAAGGCAGGAGACAGAGTTATGGCTCCACCCTCTTTAACTACTCCCCCGTGGGCACCCCCACCCTGCTGGCTTCCCCAAAACTCCAGATGCCCCACATCAGCATGCCCACTCCCAACGGCGGGCACATGACCTCTGTTATCAAGAAAGGTTTGTGTTTGTATTTCCCTTTCTCACAACATAGTTTTTTTCAATGTCAAAATACTTTAATATTAAGGTGAATTTTAATGTTTCAAGTATGTTTTTTCCCAATGTAGTAGTACATAATTTTACAATAATTATTTGCTGTTTCAATAAAATAATATAGACTACAGTACAAAGAAAAATAGATCAAATAATAACATGATAAAATGAAATAATAAAAATAAAAATTAAATTAGGCATAATATAACAAAGAAAATCCCACTTAAAAACAATAGCATTCTATTGATTGTTGATTTTCAAAAAGAGAAAAGGAGGAAGGAAAGGGCATGACATGTGGCCTAGTATGGTGTCCCTTACTTGGAATTTGTGCTCTGCATTTAACCCATCCAAGTGCATACACACAGCAGTGAACACACACACTGTGAACACACACACGGAGCAGTGGGCAGCCAATGCTGCGGCGTCCGGGGAGCATTTGTGGGTTCGGTGCCTTGCTCAAGGGTCTCACCCCAGTCGTGGTATTGTGGGTAGAGAGAGCGCTGGTTATTCACTCCCCCCCCACCTACAATTCCTGCCGGACCTGAGACTCGAACCTGCGACCTTCGGGTTACAAGTCCAACTCTCTATCCATTAGGCCACGACTGCCTAAAAAGAGAAAGACTTCACAAAGAGAAAGAAAAATGTTATTCCTTATCAGGAAATTGAATGTTATTATTTTAATTACAACCTTGATCCTCCAAAGGAGAAGTCATCTTTCTTACACAATAACACTGCCACATCTTACTCACGCTTATTCCACGCTGTGGCCTGAATGGTCATCAGAGCGGACAGGAAACAGCTTGCAGGACTTCCTCTTGCCCACTCTGCCAGTTTCCGCATCACACCAGCAGGAGAAATTAAACACAAAGAGACATGGGCTGCTTCATGATTCAGTAATGTGCCCATATGGAAAAAGACAAGTCACGCAACTTTAAGGATCAAAGAGCCTTACGAATCTGACAGTATTTATAGTGTTTACAAAGCAGCTTTAAATAGATCTCATGACTTGTGTTTCATACTCATACTTCCCTGTGAGGATGTTATTGCAGCATATTTATAAACCCAAATTTGTAGAATATAATACTGTATTCAGATTATTGAATAACTTTCCTTTACACTTTCTGTTTTACAATATATAATTTTAAGTATCATTTACTTTAAGTGAATCAGGTGTACAGTATCAAAATTAATGTCAGATAAATAAGATAAAATATCAAAAGAGTAACATACACTAACCATTCAAAACGTTACAAATTTTGGGGTCAGTGAGATTTGTTTTTTTGGTAAGAAATAAATGCTTTTATTCAGGAAGGATGCATTAAATTAATCAAAAGTGACAGTAAGGACATTTATAATGGTACGAAAGATTCCTAAATCAGTATATTAGAATGATTGCTGAAGGATCATGTGACACTGAAGACTGGAGTAATGATGCTGAAAATTCCGTTTTGCCATCACAGGATTAAATGACATTTTAAAATATATTCAGATCTAACAGTTCTTTTTGATATTGTAAAAATATTGCACAGTATTTCTGATTCTACTCAAACATATGAAGAAAAAAAGGCCGTCTCCAAACTGTTGAACAGAAGTGTAAATATAATCACAAAAAGCAAAAAAAAAAAAACATAAAATTAATCAACTTATAACATTGTGTTACATACATTTGTGATAAAGGGCTTCTGTTTTCTCAACTGTTACGCTTCACTGTCCAGTGTGGCAAAATTAAGCACCGTAAAAATGAGGATATTTCAAGGTCCTCCAGTAATGATGCTGAAAATTCCGTTTTGCCATCACAGGATTAAATGACATTTTAAAATATATTCAGATCTAACAGTTCTTTTTGATATTGTAAAAATATTGCACAGTATTTCTGATTCTACTCAAACATATGAAGAAAAAAAGGCCGTCTCCAAACTGTTGAACAGAAGTGTAAATATAATCACAAAAAGCAAAAAAAAAAAAACATAAAATTAATCAACTTATAACATTGTGTTACATACATTTGTGATAAAGGGCTTCTGTTTTCTCAACTGTTACGCTTCACTGTCCAGTGTGGCAAAATTAAGCACCGTAAAAATGAGGATATTTCAAGGTCCTCCATTGTACTTAAATTAGTAGAAAATTTCCAAGATTTAGGATGTTAGATGGTCCACTATATTTGTTTTGTTGTATATAAGTGTTCTGTCACCTAAAAAAGTTTTAAAAGTACTTCATGATGCTTTCTTGCTCCACAGAGGACTCCCTGCTGTCCAGCTGCCTGACTAACAGGATGGGCATCCCTGTGTCTTTGGCCAGCCACCACAGTGCAGCTCAGGCGGCTGCGGCTCAGGCTGCAGCTGCAGCAGCTGTGCAGGCGGCCGCATTGGAGCAGCTCCGGGAGAAGCTGGAGTCTGGAGAGCCACCGGAGAAGAAAGTGATGTTGATGGCAGAGGAGCAGCAGAGGATAATGCAACATGCATTACAGCAGAATCTCTTCGCCATGGCAACCCAGCTACCCATCAACATCAAACTGAACAATAGAGGTGGGTGCAAGGAATGCAAAGATGGTTCTCATATATGTTTGTTCGGTATATGCTTTCACAAAAATCTCTTTATTGTAATTTACTCTTTTTTTTTACATCATGAGTAGACACGCCCCTTACTGCTGATTGGCTACAAGTTTGTTTTGCTAGTTGGCCTGAATCAGTTTTCTAAAGCGTTTTTGAAAAATCGTTTACCCCACCTTTAAGCACAAAATTAGTTGTTCCTTTTTAGCAGACTTTAAGTATAACAGTTTAGTATACCAAAAGTACAATTGCGGGGTATTTTTATTGAGTACATAAATATGTAAATGTATTTGTAGTATACTTAGCATTAAAAGCTGTGCAGGCGGCCGCATTGGAGCAGCTGCGGGAGAAGCTGGAGTCTGGAGAGCCACCGGAGAAGAAAGTGATGCTCATGGCAGAGGAGCAGCAGAGGATAATGCAACATGCATTACAGCAGAATCTCTTCGCCATGGCAACCCAGCTACCCATCAACATCAAACTGAACAATAGAGGTGGGTGCAAGGAATGCAAAGATATGTTCAGTATATGCTTTCACCAAAATCTCTTTATTGTAATTTACTTTTCTTTTTTTTACTTTGTTATACAGTTATACAGTATACAGTAGTTCATCCCAAAAATGAAAATTAATTTACTCTCCCTCAAGTTGTTCCAAATCTGTTTTAGTTTCTTTTTTCTTTTAAAGATAAAAGATATTTTTAAGAATGTGGGCAACCAAACAGTTTGTGGTCCCCATTGACTTCCATAGTATATTTTTTCTTAATAGCAATTTGAAAGATGAATGAAATGGCAGCAGTTTGTAGACTTGTCTGTAAATATAATATAAATGACAATAAAGTGAATTGTGTCTCTAGAATGACCTATAAAGTAAGTAGTGAGATGAGAGAGCGCATTGTGGGTCAAATAATGTAGATTAGGGCAGAGAAGTTTATCACAAACAGCCAGTGGTAGCTCGGAAAGCCTTAGCTTCCCTAGTAAAAAGTAATATATTTAAAATACATTTATTTCATACTAAGTATAGTTCAAATCTGTTGACATATTTACTGACATATTGCTTGAGACTTACTGATATAAAATAATAATTCAACTTTATTTGGAGTATTAGTGCACAATGCACATTTTTAATATTAAGCCTAAATGTGTTTTAATGGTCACTATTGATGAGGATTGTATGATCTTTGAATAGCAAGATATTTAAAGTGTACCTGAAGTACACTTACAATAGTTCCACTTTAGCACACTCAAATATACTTCAGTATATCTTTAGTTGGACTTCAGCACTACTTCCGCACAATTAAAGTGCATTAAAGGTGGGGTAAGCGATTTCTGGTAGCCAATGTTGACATTTGAAATCACCAAAACAAACACACTCCTACCCCAAAAGGGTCTCGCCCCTATTTTGTTAGCTCCGCCCCACACATACGTACGCAACCCAGGCAACGATTAGTTCTGTGAAACAAAGCAAAACACTTTAAGTATAACAGTTTAGTATACCAAAAGTACAATTGCGGGGTATTTTTATTGAGTACATAAATATGTAAATGTATTTGTAGTATACTTAGCATTAAATAAATGTATTTCAAATGCATTTTAGTCTATTTATTTTTCACTAGGGTTTGACTGTCATGGCAAAACATTAGCCTTCCAGTTTTTCCCTTATCAAACTGAAGGAATTTATTAAAAACGTTTTTAATGAAAAATTTATGAATGACACTTTTATTTTATTTTAGTACACTATGATCAGTGTCACCTGTGAGAGAATAATACGGGTTTATCAGACATTCTCAAAACAATAATGAAAGATTTTATTTATGAATAATTGTTAATGAATGACAAATATTATTTTATGTTATTTTATAACACTAGAACAAGTTGTCTCTTTTGTCACAGAGAATGATAAGAGTTTATGAGACATTCTGAAAAAAATTAAACATCTAATGAAGTGTAAATGAATGGTAGAACTGATGAAGAAAAGTGATTTCTATCAAGCCATTTGTTTAATGTTAATGATTCAGTGTGTGCCATGATTGCAGGCTGGTCATGAGTAATGTGTTTTGTTGTCTTCTGCATGACTGTTACTATATATTAACTTATATTAAACTTATATTAAATGTTATTTTGTGTTTACCTGCACATCCACAGTAATGACAGAGTGAAAACTGAAAGTCCTGACAGCCGCTGACTTCTTGCTTTATCCCTTTTTTGGTTCAAAATAATGAATCTAATGGTCTCCTACTTAATGTATTTCTGATGAATAAATTGTGTGTAATGTTAACAGTCTGATTGCAGTGAAGAATTATCTATCTAGGGAAGTGAAAGCCCCATCTTTTTGAGAGTAGTCACCTCCCTCCCCCCTGCAACTCTTTTAATAAACCCCTCCTTATCCTGTCACTCATGAGTTATCGCCGATAGTTGGTGGCACGCTTCTCTTGCTTCTTGTGTTCCTTTTATAAATGCTCATATTGAGTTTTTCTCTTCCTCGCTCTCTGGCTCCACTCTTGACAGATGATAGACAAGAGACTGCATTGAACCTGTCTACCAACGGCATTAGCAGCATCAACATGTCAATAGAAATAAATGGGGTTGTCTACACAGGTAAATAGAGCGCCGTTTGCTGATGTAATTGCAGGCAGGAAATTCAATAAGTTATAGCAGCACCCCCGCGCTTAGTCCTCCACACAATTTGATGTCTTTGCTATAAAATCCATCGTAATGAAGTGGCAAGTCCAATAGAGTTAAAAAAGTTAAATATCTTAAAATTGGGCCTGGGCGCCAGGAGGTCGATGGAGCTTATTGTCTTTCGTGCCCGAGAGAAAGGCCCTCCGCCTTAGCTAGATACAGTGCTTGTGCCTGATGTGCGAGAGACAGTAATTACTAGACGATGGCTCATAAGCTTGCTGGGAACATTTCAGGAGATCAAGTTGAAGTGGCATCTATTTGACCATTTTTACTGAAGGTTTGTTCCCTGTGCAGCTTTTTTGTTAAGGTGAATGATTTAATGCTTTACTTTAGCCCAATTATTTATATAAGAAATAATACAATTAAAAATATAAACTGAATTGCTTTAATTGCTTTGTTCATGTTAAAAACCTAAAAAATAATGAGTTTAATCACGTCCTTGCCAAATTGCACTGAGCAGTAGCACAGTTTGTACAGGATGCATTCTTGTGTGTAAAAAGAGCTAGACGGGGCAGAAATGAAAAGAAGCAAATGCATTTAAACATTTAAATGTAACCAATTTATGGTGCATGATACTGAAAAAAGATCAAATGTTTGCATAGACCAGAAATGAAAGATCTGTGTGAACGGCACAAAAGTCTACTTTAGACAGATTGATATAATGGATTGCCAGTGACAGGCTTATGTTCAAAGTTATGAAAATAAAACAATCTGTGATTTGCTTAAATTACGATTTAGTTGCCTTCCAATCCTATCATGTCTGAAATGATTCTAGATTTAGGAGATATTCTCAGAAATGTTTAATATATGTGATTAATTCATTTTTGATTCACGAGAATTGAATGGAATTCATTTTTAAAAAATTAATTAACTAGATTTTAACAAATAGTTAGATACTTAATCAATATACAGATATCAGGTACTTCGGGTACTGCGTCTTCAGTATTGTGCAAATTAAAAAAAATATAGAAATGTAAAAATATAAAAATATTTGTACCAAAATATAGAAATGGCTTGTGCACGGGGGTGCTGATCACATACATGTTTTAGTTGAACCTCTGTTTTTGACTGTTAGTATTATCGCATGAAATTATTTGTAATCACATTTATTGCATAAGAATTTTTTTTATTGCATTTTTTAATGTTTTTAATAAATATAAACAAACTGATTTAGTATCTGAGCTGCTGATGATGTTGTGTTATGTAAAAACTAACTTTAAATATGTGTCTGCTGACTGCAGGGGTCCTGTTTGCCCGTAAGCCAGCCATAGGTTTCATGCCAGGCAGCCAGCGAGTCCATCACCAACACAGCTCTCAGGGAAAGAGCAGCAGCCCAGGGCTCAGCACCCAGATGCAGCCGTCCTCCTCTTCCTCCTCCTCACACGGACCAGCCACCTCCCCTTGAGCCCACAACACCTCACTCAACTATTGTGTCTTTTTTTTTAGAATTCAGTAGACAATTTCAGGTTGTATTTATTATTAGTTCTATTCTCTTCCTTTCATGTTGAAACTTGGGCTGTTTCAGTGCTTTCAGAAACATCGCTTTTATTTAAAGAAAGAAAAAGTCATATTACAGCCCAATACCTCACAAATCCTGCAAACCTGTACACAGATAATAGATTATGAAAACAAGATATACCTCATTTATTTCATTTCTATTATTTTTTATTGTGAAGCCACTTGAAAATGTTTTTTCAACAAATCACTGGATTTTTTTTTTTTTCTATTTTGTATTGTTTTACCAAAGAAGGGAATATATAATGAACACACATCTACCTCATTTGTTATAGACTGTGCCAACAACCTAATCACAGCAGCCAGTTTTTAATCATAGCCTTTCTGGTCCGAATTCATTTGTGCTGCAGAACCAGAGGCTGGACCACACAGGGCTCGACACGGCGTCAGTTGCTTTGCTTGTTCGTTTTTTGTCAGTGGCATTTTTTCTCTACACACGGGGGAAAATGAAATACCAGAAGGATTCTGTCTCTTCTGATCTGATCGAGCTTATTCTGTACAGTATCAGTAGATCTAAAACACATCTTATGAAACATATCTCAAGTTAAGCTGCAACCTTGGGCGTTAAGTTAATTAAAGTGTTTTAGCTTTACGGTTAGCGGCAGTTCCATTGATGCCAGTGTTTGAGTCGTCATTTCTGTTCGCAACATAATGTGACTTTCAGAAAATATATAACCTAGTCTAAGTTAAAAGTAACTTAAAAAAATCAGTTTTCTTTTTATACTGTCTTTAGTGGGTTTTGAATGAGGAGACGTGCTCGGAACAGGACTTATTTTTACAAATACCAAAGATCTGACCATATTCTTGGGTTGACCATTTCCGACCCAATGCTGTCATTCTTAGCTTTTAATCTCAAGCAGCAGAAAAATGTTTTTATTTGATCCTGCTGCGACAAAACTTGATTTTAAGCACTTGGATCAAAATGTTTTCAGAAAAAATGAAAAGGCCAAGCTGTATATTCAGTTGGTCGCCGTGATTTTGCCAAGTAAGACATGTTCCTGGATCAACATCTTTTGTTAAAAGGAAGGAAAATGAAGCCCCTAAACCTAACCCTACCCATAATTTATTCCTAAAAACTGTGTGAAATGATAGCTGATTAACAAGGGTGTAGAAGCACCTAATCCTGATCGTAAGCCTAAAACAGATATTTCCTGAAAAGTTATCCCTCAATTCTGATTGGTTGATAGGAATATTGTTCCAGGATCAACAAAAGATGTTGATCCAGGAACATGTTGTACTTGGTGAAATCACACTCACCATATTCAGTTAGTCTCAGTGCACGCATGGCAATCTAAGAATGTAATAACAGTTTCCAGAGTTTTAGCACAATTAACGATTAATGAAATAAGTAAATCTGACCATCATTTTGTTGTTGTGTAGGTGCAAGGATTCATGGAAATATATAGTCTATATTTATGTGGAATTACAGAGGGCACAATCAATGCACAATTGTCTTGATTCCTGTTGTTCGATGTAATTGACCTCTTGATCAGCGTATGAAGAGACGCTGCTTATATGTTTTCACAGCAGCGGCACAGTCTATTCCTTCACATGGCTGTCTGTTCTCTCTTCAGCTCGTGTCACTAGACTGCAGAGATTTTTAGAGCAAATCCTGGACGAACTCTGGAGAAGCAAAAGCACACGAATCCGAGTGAATCCATAACCAAAGCTTTTACAAAACCACATTCACAGGCTTACTGATGACTATGTTGGAACATTTGTTCATAAAAAAGACTATCATTTTAATAACGATTAAGAAAAAAAAAAAGAATCACTCATGTGCTTAAAGAATAATATGTTGTTTACCTTGTTTAGCTATGTCAGCGATGCTATGCTGGTAGATTTTAGATCCTATTATACGCTGTGTATGAAGCTTATTTTTTCTTTTATTCACTTTGGATAAATCCAGTGCATTATGGGAAAGCTGGATTGTGGTGCTCAGGGGTAAAAAAAAAAGAAGAAAAAAAACTGGTGAAAGATTTTTTGTTCTGTTTTGTTTGTTTGTTTTGCCATTGACTTGTAGCATAATTAGAAATAAAGTACTGCTTTCCACTTTAATGTCCAGTTGAGTTTTTCTTTTGGGTTTAAATATTCATAACTGCTGTAATAAATAAGTAATTTGGGGGGGGGGGGGTTAATATTGGTTTTGGATAGAAACAAATGGCTGAATATTATAAAATACAGGTGGAAGCACTGGATGCAGCATAAATGTCATTTATTCTTGTCATAACAAAGCTGAATATTCAGCAGCCATTACTCCAGTCTTCAGTGTCACATCATTCTTCAGAAATCATTCTAATATGCTGCTTTGGTGCTCAAGAAACATTATTATTATTATCAATGCTGAAAGCAGTAGTGTTGCTTAATAGTTTTGTGAAACTGTGATATTTTTTTCTTTAATGAATAGAAAAAACAGCATTTGTTTGAAACAGAAAACTTTAACTAAATGCATGTTGTGCTGAATAAAAGTATGAATTTAATGAATGACTCCAAACTTTTGAACAGTGGTATATATTTTGCCAGTATGCGTATTCCCTGGGAATCAAACCCATGACTTTGTTGTTGCTAGTTCTACACACGACTACATGTTGAGCAAGTTTCTAGACAGGTAATGACAATAAATTCTTTTTAAATCTGTTTGTATACACCATTGAGTTTAACATTGAATTTAACAAAAAACACACTTTAATCCAGAGTTGAGCCATTAAAAAATTAAAGAAGATTGGAATGCCAATGATAGGTCACTTAATTGTCGATCAGTCTGTGTTTACTGGCAAAGGATTGTGTTAAATAGCTGTCAAAAGCTCAAAAGGCAAATTAAGCGACAAGTGTTCAATAAACGACAAGATGTATACAACAACAAGACAGCCGTCGGTCTCATTATATTCATATTAAAACAGAATGAGATTGTGTGGAAAGAGCAGATGGTCCAGAATTTAAACACAGCTTAGTATTGCAGAGCCAATATCAGCAATTCGATTCAACAGTATACCCACAAAGTCAAAACAGAAAAAAGACAGAGACCGAACAAGTTGACTCGGCTGGACGAAGGTCAAAATCCCGCACTGCGAACGCAGGCAATTAAACTAATGATGCCAGGGGTGTGTGCAGCATTAAGCAGCTAAAATGGAGTAAAGATCGCTTCATTAAGGCCCAAGAACCTGATGTAATTAGGAGTAGGGCCAAGATTAGTGTCTGTCAATGGCTTTGCCTGGGATTTGCGGGTAATAGAGTTATCATTGAGGCTCAAGGAGTGTTACATTACACTTCGGAATAAACAAAAACAAATTAGCAGCGTCGTCCAATAATGGGTTATCTTGTCAGAGCCTGACAGAAATCCATGCCCTATAACACAGTGTTAATTTTATGCATCACTGACAAGCACCTTCACAATCAATGGAGGTACTATAAAGTCAGGGAGACCATCAATTCAAGTTCAGGACAGGTAGACAAGGAGGTTTATGAGGCCAGAGTGTATTGGAACCAAAAGTATTGTATTGCTGAAATCATGTTTTGAACTTTCAAAACTTTCCTGACCAATTAAATGTCTCGGTCCATATAATTACGGCATCAGTATGAAATGAATAACATGGGATTATCTGAATACACTTGTGAAGTAATACTTTGCCTTGTTATACTTCAAGTTTCAGATTCCACAACAAAGATGAATCAAACTAATAAATGTATCATTTAATTTAGGCCACCTCCTTTATGAAACGAAAATATATGGGAATATACTGAAAAATATAATGCAATATCACTCACAATATATATTTTTCTCATAATTGTGTACATATATTGAATATTCCCATATGTTAATATAGCACATATATTCATATATTTATCAATATATGGAAAAGGGCAGTTCCTCATGTATAATAACTAGTGTTGGGTGTAACTAGTTACTTGTAACAGAATTACGTAATTTAATTACAAAATAAATGTTACTGATATCTGTTACAGTTACTAAGAAAACGTTTAATTAAATTACAGTTACTTATGAAAATGTAAACGATTACAAAGGGGGTATGTGATATGACTGATTTGTTTCTCAAATTGCATCGACTTCTTTAAAATATGAGACACCAACGTTTCAGGAGTTTAGGACACATGCATATTCGATAACTGTTTTATTTCCTAGTTAGGTTTATGTATATGCTTTTTTTAAGATTCACTTTTTTTCCAAGGCATTGTTAGATGCCAGTGTTTCCTGTCATAGCTATGCAAAGATTTGATTTCAAAAACAGTGTCATAATTATTATACTAGAATTTTGGCTTTTTATTTTTAAACTATGATTATGATTTTAAATCTGTATTGAACCTCAGAGATCTCAAAGTAGAAAAGAGGTGTGCTAAAGTCTAATTTTGTGGTGGCTGTGCTTTAAAATTACATTTTTATCATCTTAATTCGAGTGAAGAAGGATTCTGAAAGTCTGACAGTAATCAGCGATGAGTACTGTAAGGTTAACCCGGCCTGCTTTAAATGTTTCAAAATGATTAACAGTTGAAAACATTCATTAGAAATTTAGAAAAGCAATCAAATGCAATTGGTTATATTACTTTAATAAAGTAACTGAAATAGTTACGCTACGTATTACATTTTAAATAGGGTAACTTGTATCTGTAACCTATTACATTTCCAAAGTAACCTTCGCAAGACTGATAACACAATACATCTTTCTGTATATTTTAAATATACACTAAATAATTCAATATATTGATTTGTAATATATATAAAGAAATATCATTTCTTTGCGTTTTTCAGTATTACTGACAGGCATTATAATAGATCAGGGTCATGTGAGAACATCTAATCCGACTGCATATTACCTATTGTCTCATTTCATTTTAGTGCCTGAACTTCTGCTCCAGCAAGAGAACAACCTCAAT